CCCCCCCCCCCCCCCCCACAAGAAAATCAGCTTGGGAATTTCGGCTTCTCCATTTTTAATAAATTCTCCCTCTCCCATTTAAGTTCACTTATGTATGCATAAAAAAATATTTTAAATCTAAAAACCTAGTTTGCAATTACAAAGACTTTTTAATGCATCAATTTTACATATTCATTACTATATTATAACTGTATTAAAGAGACATTTCATAGAATGCTTTTGTTTTGAAAGGTACTACTGCACAGATACATGCAAGTGTCTAAAAGTATTGTTTCTCGAGTTTTTTTTACAGCCTCTGTAAATAAATAACACCTACTATTTTTGCATGTCACAGGAGAAATGTGCAAAGAATGAGAACAATCCAATATTACTGGAAATAATCTTGTGTCATGTTGTGTAACAGATTTTTTGTTTCATGCCAACACATTACCTATAAGCTCCAATGACTTCATTCCAATGTGTATTGGTCTCTATTGCCCTCGATCAGCCCAGTGACGTGACATATATAATTTTGTTTGTAGCATCATATTATTTATTGTAAACATTTTATTCAAATCGACTAAAGAAAATGTGACACGTACTTTATTAATTTAAACTAACAGATATATTAGCTAACACTTTTAATTGTATTTCAAAAACTTAGTTGTGTCACTTTAATTCCAGAACTTCAATATTATTTTGTTCACTTTTAAAAGGAAAAAAAAAATGTCACTTTGGTACTTGCTGCATACATATTCTACACAATATTCAAACCTCTTAGAAACTACAACTGAAGAGAGAAAAACAAAAACAATAACAGCCACAGTGGACAAAGGACTGTTCATATTATCCAACCTGTGAAGACTGATTTTTTAAGAAGTGAAGGCAACAAGTATCTGACGAAATAAAATTATAGCTGTATTAACTAACTGCCAAAATACCATTGACTGAAAATAAATGAAAAAGATATTCATCACCTTTTCATTTGGGTTAAGTAACAAAATCCAAAAGAAAATAGTAATTTTATCAAGAGAAGCAATAGAATACTGACTCCTATCGTCTTGTTTCACACAGTTGTCAGTTTTACTATTTACCTATTCTCATTACATAAATAATTTCTTCCAATAATAAATCCTTCAAAACACTTTACATTAGAACTACTGAAACTCACTGCAGTTCTGATCAGGATTTCAGTAGCAGTAGTGGGCTGTTAATGTTGTGCCAAATGAAGCAAAGCAAAAATATTTTTATTGGGGATAGCAGGTTCTCAGAAGTTGGAGGATTAGGTTCTGAAATGGTGAATCTTTATACACATCTATAACAATTTACTATAAATATGATATGTAAATTCAGTTTAATCTTTATCCATATTAGTTTTTACTATTCAAACTCTTGCAAATTACAAATCTTCCTTCAGTGAAAAGAAGCGATGCTCATTAAACTAAACAAGTAAAAAGTGCATGACAGTCACCATCTGCCGATACATTTACACTGATCATACACCAGGCTCAACTTGTGCTCACCAACATCACACTATGTATATTTTTTCAACCCATTTAGTTTGATCTACTGTTTTTTAAAGATTTTACAAATCATAACATACACATACATAAAAACATATCTTTTCATAATTACTTGATAAACAAGTACACTAATTGTTAATTACACTTGAAAAATACTTAAACCTTACAGATATCAACAAAACAAATCTGTCACATGATGTAAGTAATTTCTATCACAAGTGCATGGTTATTTATATTCTATATTCTGCTTTAGATCACAGCTTTTATATCTCTTTAAAACTAAAGAATTCCTCACAGTGTACAACTATTGTGCTAAGATAAAAAAATCAGTTTCACTTATGGCAAATTAACTAAACTGTCTTTAAATATATAAATATTTTGAATTTAAAATTATATAGCAAGAGATCTGCATTTTTGAACACAAGTTATTTTATTTCAATCTTTAATTTAATACAAATTATTTCATAAAAATCAGACATGTGTAAATTGTCCCCTTCATTTTAAAATGTTAACTTTATCATTGTCCAGGGAATTTTAGGCCATTTAGTTTTATTTCAATATCGAAGAATGCTTTAGAGTCTGATAAAAGATGCTTTGAAGGATTATTTTGATAAAGTTCAAAACTTAGTTAGATGTCAACTATGACTTTACTAACCTATCAACTTTTTTTGAAAAATGTTACTTCTTACCCAGATGAGGGTAGAAGAGTTGAATGGGTTTATTTGGATTTTCACAAAACCTCTGATAAGGGGTCATATAAAAGATTGATGAAATGGTGCTACTGTTACATGTGGTGTGCCTTGCTTGAACAGACAACAGTCAGAAAACTGGTTAATTTACTAATGATATAAAAATTCTCGGTCTGGCTGTAACATGGAGTTGTGATTTTACAGAGATTCAGAACTGTTGGTCTGTTGGACAAATGTATGGCAGAAGGCATTTAATTATGATAACCAAAATGTTATATGTGTGGGTTATAATAAATCAAAGGTGTAATTCACAAGGGGGAGGTCTCCTTCACTTTATCAATGATGGAGGAATGTTCCTCCTCAAATTGCAGCAGTGCTAAAACTTTTGTTTCTCAGTGCTTTATTTATATTAATCACTAACCACTATAGCATTCATGATGATTACATTATGTATTAAATTCATTATATACGAGATACTGGAATGGAAAAAGTAAAAACCACCATGTTATAACTGTAGCAGAAAAAATAATTTTAAACTAAGTGTGGTATTCAAGTATTGTAAATAATAGTAAAACACGTAATAAAATAAAAGTTTAAAAAATAAAAAATATGTGGGGATGGGAATGCCTAAAAGAACAGAAACAAAGTAGGGATGAATACACAAAACCACTCATAAAACACTACATATGTAGCCAAATATTTCCAAGAAAAACTTTTATTTACAACTAAATGTTGAATTCCTTAGATTTGCACAAATTTAGGTTTGGATAAAAGCATTTAAACTGAATAATGGCAATAAATCCTAACAATGTCTAATCTTCATAAGATTGTAACGTTGACTCAGTGGCTACTTATGTAGAGATTTTTGTATGGTTTTGTGTAATCATCCCTACCTTGTTTATGTACTTTTTGGTATTGCCATACCTATATCATCCTAGATTTTTTTTCAAAATATTACTTATTATCTATTTCCCCTCTTTTTTAATGAATGGCAGTTGTTACGAAGGCAGCAGCTGCATTGTCTTGATGGAGATCATGTGTTGAAGTTAGTGAAATACTGTAACTGTTTCAGCACTACACAAGTTAACTCTTTTAGTACGGGCTCGGTCCCTGGGACCAATCTCGTAACCATTTTGTGCTTGTTATAGTTTTCATGTTATAACTTTTAAATTAGTAAGCATATGTTAATACAATTTG